TATATATGATTTTATAGCAGAGCTTCAAATTTTCTACCTGAGACTTTTTCCCCCAATAAATTTCTAAGTAACAAGTATATAGGTATATAAACTAGGTATACAAATCAAATGTTTACTGGTAATAAACTCTAAAGAAATTTATTTTGGGGCTGGTGAGATGATTCAGCAGTTAAGAGCACTTGCTGCTCTTGCAGAGGACTAGAATTCAATTTCCAGAACCCATGTTGGGTGGCTCATAACTGCATGTAACTCCAGCTCCAAGTGATCTGAGACCCTCTTAATTCTTTGGCATACATACTTTAACATTTATTAAAGATGAAATTTCACACACTTGTGTACTTACATACATGCAAGAAAAACGCTCATATCCTTAAAATAAAGATAAATAAATGTTTTTTAAAATGAAAGAAATTTTGTACACCATTGAGATGGATGTGCTTGTTTATTTTCACACAGAGTTAAATCTTCACTCATATCCTTAAAATAAAGATAAATGTTTTTTTAAAAATGAAAGAAATTTTGTACACCATTGAGATGGATGTGCTTGTTTATTTTCACATAGAGTTAAATCTTGGCTGAATATTTGATATTGTGTAATAAAGAGTATCTTTGATATTTTTCTGAGTTGATATATTGAATTTATAATTGTCAATACTGAGAATGCTGTTTTGTGTAAGTACAAAGTACAAAATGGAAAGAATATATTTACACTGTTTCATAAATTTTTGGAAATTCTGTTCCAATTCTGGGCCAAAATTCATTGAATGATTTTTTTAAATAAAATTCAATCTGCAACGTAAATAGCAATTATTAAAATCAAGCATTCTAACACAATATAATCTGAATATGTACTAATTTTATGCTTACATGCTATGTAACAGTGGCTAGAAAATATTAAATCTTTGTTTTTTTGTTTTTTGTTTTTTGGTCTTTTGAGACACAGCCTCCCTATAGCCCCAGGGTCTCCCCCTGGCCTGGAACTCACTATGTAGACCAGGCTGGACTTGAACTCACAGAGGTCTGCCTGCCCCTGCCTCCAGCGTGCTGGGTAAGGTGTGTGACACCACACCCAGCTTTGCAACCCATTATTTAAGAAACTGTCTTTATAGGATCCCAAAACCTTATCTGCAATTCTCCCATTCAAAAAGGTATTAATTGGGGCACTCAGGAGGCAGAGGCATTCCGATCTCTGTGAGATTGAGGCTAACCTGGTCTACACAGTGAGTTCCAGGCCAGCTTGAGCTATAGGGAGACCCTGTCTCAAAAAACCCAAAAAACCAAAACCAAAACACAAACAGTAAATAAACAAACAAACAAAACAAAAAAATCTTGACACTAAAAGCTTTTTCATAATTGGTGGGTAAACCTGACTTAATGTCCATTACTCTTAACTGCTGAGCCATCTATCCAGCCTTGTGATCATGATTATTTAGTTATTTATTTATTTAATTTATTTATTATTCGCAAGTGGCTCCCACTGTGTTGCACTGGCTGGCCTGAAACTTACTATGTAGATCAGGCTGGTCTCAAACTTGTGGTGGTCCTCTTATTTCTGCCTCTTTAGTGCTGGGATTATATGCATGTGCCACCATGCCTAATTTAAGATTATTCTTGCTCACTTCGGCAGCACATATACTAAGTTTGAAACAATACAGAGAAGATTAGCATGGCCTCTGTGCAAGGATGACACACAAGTTTGTGAAGCATTCCATTTTTTAAAATTATTCTTTAATACTGAAGGCAATAATACACAGAGAATCTGAAAGTATTGGATCCTTAACACAAGAAAGTACCTTTAACATTTCTTAAAAGTGTGTGTGTGTGTGTGTGTGTGTCTGTGTGTGTTAAAGGGTGTGTTGGAAGATAGCAGAGTAGATGACTTTTGTGAATTATAGCATTTTAAAGCCAGAAGTGCATGTGGGGGCTGGGGGAGACTGGAGAGATGGCACAGCGGTTAAGAGCACTGGTTACTTTTGCAGAAGACCCAGGTTTGAATCCCAGCACATATGTGGTG